GGGCGAAACCACTAATATTTTTCAGATGTGCTCAAACCACTACCCAGTATCTGCGTTTAGGCTAGAAAATGCACAAAAGCTCAGCCTTCCTCAGCGTTTTCCACTACAAAGTCCTGATATTGGAAGAAGCCATATAAGCCCAGGTGGTGCTAGAAATGTCGGCCGCAAACCGACATTCTGAACATCACCGGGACGTATGTATGTTCTTTAAAAGCATCAAAAACATTAGAAATGATAAAAATGGCTACCGTAAAGCTTTATCTCTAGAGAAGAAAGTATGGTAAGAGGAGAGGAAGTTTTGAGGTAGCAGTTGTGTCGAGCACCATTGGCATCACCAGAATACGAGCAGCGTTGTTCATGAACTAGATACATGTTGCAAAAAAAAACACTGTAACTTACCGCCCAGTCGTGCACCAAAGAGTTTGCATCTTTCCTGCCGAGACCCTCCTGATGCTAATGATGCTCGACCCAAATTTCTCCTCTACCCTGGCCGTCCTCAGTAGTGAAAAAAACCTCTGAGGTTCCTCAAGGGCTTTTTGGCCAAACGTCATCTTTTGGTCCGACTTTTTTTGGACTTCCGATACCTGGCGCAACCGAGGTTCTTTTGCATCAGTCCGATGTGTTTTTGCACCGGGATGAGCGGCTCTTTAGTTAGTGTAGCTGTGGATGTGCTCACTGTGTTTCTCAGCCAACAATGAATGGTACAAATCGAGCGTGGACAAACCATGGACAAACCGTGGAACAGTAGATGTTTAGCGTGGATCAGTAGTTGTTTAGCGTGGAACAGGAGTTGTTTAGCGTGGACAGGGACCTCCAAAAACTCGCCAAAGGTGAGAAAATGCTGACGCTGCCCCATGTTCGATCGGGTGGATTCGGGATGAGCAGGGATTCAGGTCTTGGGATCCGACGTTTTTTGGGATCGCTCGGATGTTTTTTTGCATGACCAACCAATGATCTAACGGGTATATTTTAGCGAAGTGAAAAAACTCTGAGAAAACATGGTTTTGCAAAACAACTACTGTTAGGAGAACAGTCGTTTATTGTACTACTTTTGGATCCCTAGGGTCTAAGCTTGTAACCATGTTTAACGCTTTATTTTCTAAGAGGTTTGGAAGCTACTTTTTCATCAGTGGCCATTTTTCATCATTTTCCCGGTGTTCTTGATGTTTTTTGACGAATCCACCTGAGCCCTGGTGATGCAAGAAAGAAGAGGTCGGCAGCATCCGGCGCGTCTCCGTATAGCAAGCTATGCTTGATATGGCGGATATGGTCACCGGATTCTACGCGACGCGTGCTATATGCCGCCGACCCGTGTGCTTGAGGCAAAGACGTCTTCTCTTTCCTCAAGGAGGCCGACGCATCCGACCGACCGGACCGCTTGGCTGAAAAAAGCGCGGGAAAAAAGAGCGGATTTCTTGGTGGCCACCGAAACCAGAGGGGTTCCAGGGCCTCTTATAGTTTTAGACTCTCTTAGTGGTTTTTTGGAGCGATCAAGATTCAATGCCCTAAGCAAGTAGCACATCAGATATCATGCGCAAATCTGTCACTTGGACTTGAAGCGTTTCCCATCGTTGCCATCAGCCGAGCGGAGTCCGGAGGTGCTCACGCTGGAGAGGACTGGGAGACTGGGATGTTGGCGGAATTGCCGCTACCTTCAGCCAATCGCACAGACTTCACTCCGATAAACGAATTGTCGGACTCCGAGACAGCCACATGAAGGTCAAAAAGAACTCCCCAAACAGCTGTTGGCCCATTTGTACCAAGTCCGTGGCGACACGAGAACAGACAATAACCAATTTAACGAGCTTCGTGACAAGCATGGGATACATGTTGGCCCTATCACATGCTCCTGTCTTCAAAGCACATTGTCGTATGAGGTGCGTGCCGCGTGCAAGAATATGTCCCCTGTCTTTTTTCCGAATGTCTTTGGTGCTGCTTTGGGAGATTCCCGTGTTGTGCCCTCATTCTTTGCACTTCATGTTTGTAGTTTGGTCAACGTCTTGAGATTGGGAGCAGAACTTCTGTCTGGGAGCGAACCATCGGGGGCGAACCGGGTGTGGTGCAGGAGAACGTGCTTATTGATAGTATTACGATGTCATTATGCCATAAAACTGAACAGGCTGTCAGACCCAACAAGGGCTGCTTGAGCGGATTGTGAAGGAGAGGCAACACTGTCTTGGTCAAGCTCAAGCCCAACATTTGCTGCTTTGCACTCAGTCGTCGCTTTTGGAATGTTGATTGGATGATACGACATGGGTGTGTATTAAAGTAGGGAGACCTCCCAGTTCGACGGGCCCCTATTAAGATATACACATCCACATGATTCATGATTCCAAACGTTGTTATTTTCTTTATTCCTTTTTGCATGTGACCTCTCGCACCAAACGCACCCACCGTCCTCTTTCGACGCCGAGGACGTGATGCCTCCGTGGTCTCACGGACGGAGCGAAGCGACGAAAAGAGGAGAACGGGTGGTACATCAAGGGGTAGAGACCCCTGGTCAGCCTGATTATAGAAGAACATCGGATGAAAAACAGAAACCTGATAAACAAAATGACGATGCTTTTGGGTATGGTTGAAGAAATTGGCATGGTTGAATGCTATTCTGGGGGGATAGTTTGTCGGCTTGGGCCAACTTGGGCTATCTTGGGCTTTGGCATGGTGACTGGTTGGGAGGGCAGTCCACTCCTGTGGCTTTCGGTTGAAACCATGCAATAGATTGCAATAGATGCATATTAACATACATACACATATGGCGTATGGGTGCATAATTAGAGGAAGACTGGTCGGTCCAATAGGCTTTGGTTTGATCTTGTCCAGGGGATCTTGCAAACAAGCATCAAGCTTAGAATCGATATTGAAGCAGGACAGGAGGCCTGAAAAGAGTTGCAAGATTGTGAAACGTGGCAACGATCCTAAATGAGTTTTGGCCATCATTTCTTGCGCCTGTCTTCACGACCGGATGTATATAGCCCTTGCATAGCCCTTGCTTGTGAGATCCTGTGAGTATCATGGGCCCCACCAGTGCTTTTGGCTTCACAGCAGCCCCAGCCACCATGGCCCTGCCTTGGCCTTTTGACCCCGTTGCAAATGGGGTAGCTTTGGTCTGCTTGGATGAGGTAGACGAGCAGAAGCTTTGCAAAGGCATTGACAATGTTGTGCGAGCATCCATGGCGCAGGATGGCTACCCAGCGTCTTGCCATTTAGCCAGACAGTGAAAAGCAGCGGAGTCGTGTAAGTGACGTCCATATGCCATATGCGGAGGAATAATCCTTTTTATATCATGAGTCATGTCATTCATTCCCGTTTTTTGTGGACTCAAAATTTGCATACAACTAGTACAGTATCAACTAGTGGTCAATATTGAGCTTGCAAAACATTCTTAAAGAGCATCTATGCGCTTTGTTTGATGTAGGGTTTTCGTGTGCCACTCTCCTCCACATGAGTCTAAGTCTAGGTATCTCAGAGCTTGATCGACTGGATTTGGCAAGAGCCACTCATCAAGACGCAGCAGATCGAGATGTTCCACCCAAAGTACTCACAAATTGCGACCGATTCTTGGATTGATCCTCCAACTGATTTTTCAGGTTATTGGGTGCACCCCCTCTCAAAGCCCCAGTCTTGCGAAGGAGGAAAGTTGGTTGGGGATCTAGAAATCAACAGCCTCTCTGAAGCGGGGCTTGTATTTGAGGAATGTTTGGATGTAAAGTTTTGTCCAGAAGATCAGAATCTAACTAGCATCTCCCCCGACAAGTTCTGAGTCCAGTAGATAGGCTTCATTCTTGGGCTGATGCTACTTAGACTGTCTAGATGTGCATCCTCCACGGCTGGAAACAGATGTGTGGTCACTGCAGTTGCCTGACACGACGCTAGAGCAATGCTGGGGTTTGGGGTTGCCAAATGTTACTACAAATCTTAATGAAACTGCAGTCCGCGAAAGGCCGGCGATAGGACGGCGAAAGACATGTGCCAACCTGGACATACAAGGTGCCACCAATATATATATATAATATGTATATGACGACACATCCTTTTCCCGAGCAGAAACATGGATTTTCACGAAAGGGCCGCGAAAGGCCGGCGATAGGCCCGCGAAAGTGCGCATTGCCTGGAAGGGCATTTGCCCATCCATGGCCTTGAAACATTTGCTTCAAGTATGGATTGACAAAGGGCAGCCTGCTTCTCAGCGCACCAAAAGTATTTATATAGATATCCCAAACGCTGTGAACATCTGTGAACTCAGTTCAGCGGAAAAAGCTCATCACAACGCGCGAAAGGAAACCCTGTGTTTTTCTGCAAACGCGAAAGGCCGGCGATACAAGCCAGAAAAGAAGAGCTTTGTTGGACAAACCCCCGGCTGTACCTGCAATAGATCCTGCATCTTAGGTGAATGGGGACATTGTGGGGGCGATTCTCGTCTCTATGGAGTCCAGCCTCACCATAGCTCGCATTCGAAACTTGTGCGTGCTTCCGCCATGGCGCACACATGTCGGATCCCTTCTGCTCCACGGCTTCTTCAATCGCATCAAGGCCCTGGTAGTTCAAGATGTCCCTTCAGTCAAAGCCCGGAGTTGGGTCTCATCCTTTGCAGATCCGGGGCCACATGTGTGCGTGTGTGTGTGTTTCACAGCAAGAACTATTGGTGCAGCGGGAGCAGATGAGGTCTGACCTAGTATTGCAGGTTGTGAGTGACCAGGAAAGCACACATGTGTTTGTTGCCGATGTGCTTCCTTCACCATTTGGTGCTTCCATACTACTTGCATGGGCACGTGTTGTGCAAGAGCTTTCATGAATTCTGGGGAATTCCCTTGCAGGGTGGAACGCAGATTCACACTGTGTATGGTGCGATCTATCCGGGGGTCGCTTGGTTGGAAAGCCTTGCTGGTGATTTTGGATTCACAGAGGGCCAGCGCATGGGCGAGCAGGTGGTATATACCCGCAGATGGGAGGCAACAGCTGCGGGAGATGAGAGCAGTGAGCCGTTGGAAGTGACGTTGACACCTTTGACACGTGAGAACTTGCAGCACATTCAGTCCTTAGAGGCAGAAGGGACGAATGCAACAAGGGTGACCCAGGTCCTCACGTGATCTTTTGCCCAGTGAGGTCACTATAATGTTTGGATGCAATGCACCTAATTAAATGTTGATGTCAAATCATCCACGGACAATTCGAAGACTGTTCCAAAGACCTGTCAACCGCTCAATTGTTCAACTGCTCAATTGTCTAGGCTGAGAGCCTCCCCCTCAAGTACAGTGCAGCCTTCTATGAGAGGCAAGGCATGTCAAAAGATGTCAATATACATGGTGTCTTCGTGAGTTAGGGCGTACGTGTACATAGGTATAGAGCTTTTGAAGCAATTAGATAGAGACGATTTCCGGTGCGTGTTGTATCGTTATATACTTTGGTCAGCTGTGTGGAACAATATAAACATGTCATGCTATGTCATGCTTGCTTTTTAATTGTTGCTGTTGGACGCTCCCGGCTCCCGCCCTGTCTTTCTACCCAAGGCTGTTTGCAGATCACATGTTGGTGCGGTTGGCCAAGGTTGGCCAGGAAGTGGCGGGAAGCTTGAGTGCAGAAAGGATTCAGTCCGAACGTCTCTTGTTTTGCAAACCATTGAGTTATAGGTTGTTTGGTCAAGTTTTTTAAGGAAAGAGCAAGGATGCCGCTCTTTATATGGGGACAATGATCCATAGGGGTCAGGATTGTTCAACTGCGAAGCAGAAGTTGAGGCTATGGCGATTTCGTCTACCTCAAGAACTTGTGCGTAAGGCCGACCTTTCGAAGGCAAGATCTCCTGCCGGTTTGAACCTACTGGTGATGTTGCATTCTTGTAAGGCCCCCTGCAAACTGCCAGGCCCCTGATTAGACACACTCAACAATCAAAGCAGGCATCAGGAACCCAACATGCCAGGCATCGCGTGGCCGAATCGCTGGTGGCTTGGCTGCTGGAACACGTAAAGCAAAGTCACAACGCTCTTGTGGCCATTTATGCGCACACCGAAATCTCCAACAAGCCCGTGCTTGCCATGGCGACCAAGATGAACTTCCGCATCATCGGGTTCGCGCCAGATCAGTATCAGAGGCCTGCAAATCCTCATGCCTATGCCTTGTGCTGGTGCAAGCCAGGGAGGAACCACCCATTGCCATTGACTTTGTTGCGCACATTCTTGGACAATCGACCAGCAGGCAGTGTGAATGCCAACATTGAAAGTGAAAGGACTGCAAAACACAATGGACCGGACAGCAAAATCTTTTTCGAGGATTGGGAAGTTGTCCCTGCTTAAGCAGGTCTCGCAGTGGATTCTGTTGCAGAGGCAAAGCCCTTTGTTAATGCTCGAATCACGGCTGATTGTGCTGATTGAACTTGCCTAGTAGGCTGTGCTTTAAAGAATATATATATATATTAATTAGCCCAGCTGGAGACCCCAATAGCAAGATACAAACCGGGACAAAAAGAAAAATCTGGAAACAGCTGCTGTTTTCAACACATCGACCATCTCTTCCAGAGTCACCAAATCTCTGTTAGAAAGGGCTCTGATGTGTTCAAACAGCTCAGAGTCACCAAATCTCTGTTAGAAAGGCCTCTGGTGTGTTCAAACGGCTCAGAGTCACCAAATCTCTGATAGAAAGGCCTCTGGTGTGTTCAAACAGCTCAGAGTCACCAAATCTC